GCCAGTGTTCATCGGAGTCGCAGCCCCAGCACTTCTTCCATCTTGGCATTGCTTTGGTCTCAGTTATAGCTCTGGTTTCTGTTTGGAATACTCTGTGCCCGGCTGTCTTTTCTGCTGGCCTGGTTGACTTATGAGAATCTGTAGCAGTACCAAAAACTGGATCGTTAATCTCACATGAGGCTGATCTCACGAACCTAACCACATCCTTAAGGCTAGGTATCTGATTGCTTTCTCGTAACTTGAAGACTTCTCGTGTCCATCGCTGTTGGAGAAACCTTGGTAGCTTTTCGATTATGGTTTTCAGGCTTCCCTGATTACTCAATTCATGTAGGTATCCTAGCGCATCTAGGGCTTGAAAACAATTGCTCAGATCATCCGCATAACCTTCGAGTTTTGATGGCTCTACTTTAGGACGTGCTACTATTTTCTGAACCCATGCTTGAACGATAAGCGCACTGTTGCCAAATCTTTCTTTAAGTGTCTTCATTGCAGATTGTAAACCCTCTGCTGGTGGTTTCAAAACACAGTACTCTGTAGAGTCTAAAGCACGGCCACAGCATAGAGATCTAAGGACATTAAGCTTAATACTTGGATCAAGGATACAAGATACACTGTTAGTAAACGTGGCAATAAATGAATGATAGAACAATGGATCACCATCAAATTTCTTAACCTGTGCCTTAGGTAAGGCCATAGCCTGAACCATGCTAATAAGAGAATTCTCTTGCGTTACATTAGATACAGAATTGCTCACAGAAGTGTTTACATTACCGGCATTGTTAACAACATTACCCGATTGGGTTTCAACATTATTTACAGAGCTATCTACATTTGCATTATCATTAGAACATTCTTGAACAGATTCTACATTTACATTCTCTGCAAGTGTGAAATTATCATCAACCTGAGTTTCTGACATGTTAATACCTGGCTTAACCGGGGTTGCACCGACTTCACCTAGGATTTTTCTTGCTAGTCTGGTTACTTTGTTGAAATCATTCACAACACCACCAAGCCATTCTTCTTCTTTAACAATTTCTTCTTCGTCCATAATGGTGTCAACTAGTGCGTCGTGAGCATCTTCAGCAGCATCAAGTCGGATCTTTGCTCTTTCAAGCAGGAGGCGAATCTGTTCCGCGACCACGTCTTCTTCCTTTAATTCAGCATGTAACTCATTTAAGGCTAT